TGTTGTGGCAGGTGCCTATATTCCCATCTACTTGGAAGGCTGAGGCAAGAGAACTGCTTAAGCCCAAGAGTTTGAGGTTGCTGTGAGCTATGATGCCACAGCACTCTACCAAGGGCAACATAGTGAGACTCTGTCCCCCCTCCCCCCCAAAATCACTTACAAATGAATACTCTTGAGGTTTATTTAGTAACACTGTAGTAGTCAATTGACAATAAGACACAAATTGAATGCAAAATGTTTGTGATCTTCTTAAGGTAGGTATAAAACTAGGCAGAATTTGAATGTCTTCATAGTATTTATTTTTACTTCTAATATTTAAATTATTTTTTTATTTCTCTATGCCTTTTCTTTTAGTTATTCTTGAGCAAATTTAAAAATTCCTCATTTTAAAAATTCTGTAATGAACAAACGTGCATTGCTTTGTTATCATTCTTACCATAATACAATAAAGCTGTCTTTTGTCAAAAAAAGACCACGGTAGGTGTTTTGTTTCTTATTTAAAAACATTAACATGTAATAAATTTGGGGATAATAAAACCATTTACTGATATATTTTTGGCTTCTTGAAATACTAAAAATCCCCCCAAACTTAAAACAACAACAGACACACTTGCTAATTCCTTCTGTATTTGTTTTATTCAGGGATTTAGTCTGTTCAAAGATAGATGACTTTTTAAAAAAAAAAAATTTATCATTCTGTGCAACTTACTTTTTAAAAGCACCTAAACATTGATTTGTAAATTTGTTTGTTTTTCTGAAGTATAATTTATTCTCTTGGAAGTTTCAATTCAATTCCCAAAGGGTGTAAAATTATTTACCTTACATGATAGGAGGCTTATTTTTTCATATTAAAAGATGCTAATATCTAGTGTTTCAATTAAAGTTAGTTGTCTAACAAAACAAAGAGGCAGTGAAGCCATGCAGTATCAGCACTCATCCCTTTTTCTATGGTTTCCCTAAAGATTAAATTTTGTTTATAAAAGGAAATAAGATAAATTGTAAAGGTCCCAAATTTTGATGAGAAATTTATTGAGAAGACTGAGTTTTTATTTTCTTTTTTCTTTTCTTTTTTTTTTCTTTTCTTTTTTTTTTTTTTTTTTTTTTTTTTACCAAATAGGAAACAGTTTAAAATTGACTGTGACTTTTGATGGTGAAAATATTTGAGGTTAGTTTTTTTTTAAGTTTTATAGGATTTATATTCTCAGTATTTGTAATTTGAGTTAGGTCTTTCTCTTCTCAGATTTGATAGTTAGATTATTTCTAAATATTGACCATGATTTCCTAAAGCCAAATAGGGTACACTACCTCTCTTCAGCTCCAAGCAACCACTGGTTAGGTTACATTTCATGGACAGCAAATACCCTAAAAAATGTTAGAATTACTTCATCTCAGATGAGCAAGAATAGTATTTCAGGGATTACTGTGGCCATATGGTTTAACATAAGAGCAAGACTTTGGAAAATAGTACTGGTTTTGAAGCAGCATCCCATTAAATTATAAAATCTATTACTTTACAAATAGACTTTTTTACTTAAGTTATGCCGATTATTAGAAGATTTATCTGATTAAGACAAGGCTGTCAATCAAGTTTTGAATAATAATAAAAAAAGCATGAGAAAATGAAAGCATTGGTAAAACCTTAACACCATAAGCAAAAAACCGTGTAACTGACAACACTACATATAAGCATCAAACTGTGAAACCAAGCAGTTCTCAATTATTTCTTCATAATATGGGACTTTTAAATAATGGCTTAATCTGTAATCACTCATTTCCATTATCAAATATTGAAAGGAGAATTGAAAAGCAAACAAGTCGAGAGATTCAGATCCCAGATTATAAATTAATTCTACCGCTATTTGTGGAATTGCCTACTATATTCCAGGTATTGTCATAGATTGTGGGAAAATTTGCATCATTTATATTCAGTCATTTACTGATACCAATTATTCCCATAAATTAGGCCATTTTTTTATAAAGATGATATTCTCTCTATTCCTATATCTCTCCTTAAATATACTTACTTTTTCCCACTGGGCTAAAAATATCACTTGCACATGTAACATGTTATTTTTTCATTTAACCATCATTGTTACTAGACAGCAGTATATGTGAAAATTGCTGTACAGCACAACCTCCCTCCAATAACCTTGACTATGATAGTTTGTAATCACAAATAATATTCTTAATATCCTTCTCTTTGAGCACATTTAAAATTTGTACAAGTGACTGTTTTGAAAAGCCAAACAAAACAAGACAAAACTTTTCTGAAGGAGTCAATCTTAACCTGACTAGTAGTGGTATATTTTTACTAATTATTCTGTGCTGGGAAATGATGAGCAGTCAAATTTTTAAATCCCTTGTCACTGATTTAAGCTGTTCAATTGTGTTGCTTCTTCTTGGAAGGCTTAATTATTAGGAGTCTGTTAAATGTAGCTAAAAATGGAAAGTACAAGTTTTAAAAACTACCCTGGCATTATGTTCAAATAAAAATGATTTTTCCTTTCTATTTTTCCCCCAATTTTAGCCAATTGAATTTATAGAGTATTTTAAAATGTTTAACAGAATCCTAAACATACATATTTTATCTGTACTTCAGCATTTTTAAATTTCTCCTTGTGTTTTTGTATTGGCTGACCTTTCAAAAACAGTAACAATTTAAAAACTTAACGCAACTAAAACCAGGTAGTAAATGTCTACACTTGATGATTTTCACCTTCTAGAAAACTTTGTAGATTTATTTTGAATCCAAGTATTTTTAAAAGACATAGGCTAACACTGACACTTCAAGTTTATAAATTTAAATGAAAACTGGTAATGGGTAAGAAGAAATGGATCTTACATATGATAAATAATTACCAATACAACTATTTAAAGTTTTATTTACAGTTTCAGAGTTTTCATATATTTTAGTGATCACAAAAGTGTAAAGGAAGTGGGCTCATAAGTATGAAAAAATAAACTATATTTGTTTTAGTTTTTGTCAATTTAAATTCAGAATAATTTTCAAGATGTCTCAAAATTTTGATACATCTATCAATATAATGTATTCCTTTACTTTTTTAGCAGATTTAAGATTTTACATGCTATATATATTTTCCTCAAACTTATGTAATTCATAATGTTTTTAAACACGGGATGTTCATCTCATCATTGTTTACACATGTTAAATACTGAAAAATATAGAAATTGGATTCAGAAACAAACAGCTAAGATATAGTACATACACACAATGGAATACTGTGCAGTCACTAAAATGATGAAATAGGATGACATTTATTGGTATAAAAAGATGATTATGGTTCAGTTTAAAATTAAAAAATACAAAACAGTACACTTTTTTTTTAGTAAAAATGCTTATGTATACATAAGAAGAAAGGTATGGAGCATATGCAATCGCTGAACATATTAATATTATTTATATCTGAATTGTGGGAGTTTACTTCTTTCTTCTGTGTTGTGTACATTTATTACAATGAACAGGTATTATGTTTATAATCAATAAAAGCAATTATTTCCATTTCAAAAATATTTGATTATGAACATACATGTAATTTGAAGATAAACAATTACATAGAAACAGCTCATTCTAATTATTTTATGGTCAAATAGCTAACAAAAGTGTTAACAAAATTATAGATTTATATTGCATTATTTATGAAAATGAAGATTTATATATAAGGTAATAAAAAACAACTGAGAATACAGAAAAAAATTTTCTTATGGTTGAATCTGTGGCATGAGTGATTTGTATTTTTAAAAAGTAATTATTTAGTGCTGGCTTCAGCAGCACATATACTACAATTGCAACAATACAGAGAAGATTAGCATGGCCCCTGTGCAAGGATGACACACAGATTCGTGAAGCGTTCCATGTTTTTCTGCTAAAAAAAAGTAATTATTTAAATTTTACATAAATTGGGTATTTCTCTAGTTCTCAAATCTACTTGAACTGGTACATATTAAAAGAAAGACAATACAAAAAGTATAAAAATAAGTATAATATGGATGGAAGGCAGATAGTGAGACCAGGGAACTGGACATGAAATGTGGAGAATCTGCAACCTAGATATTACAGGATAATTAATGTAACTACAGTATGAAATGGAACTTTTTTTTTCTGAATTTGCAATCAGCCAAGACATAGATGGTGGAAAATAATCAAGAGACTGAATGTTCCTTAACTTTAAAAAAAAAATCTATGAATGTTATCACATGGATACATCCATAAATTTATTGCAGATAACAAAAAGTTTAATAATAGATGCTCTTCAAAATCATTGTTAAAAACATTCTATGGATTATTGACCTTTTATATTGATAGTGGATAAAGGCTGGAGGTAATTGTTTAAAATTATCTATAGGTAAAGGAAATTCATTGCAGTTATTAATCTTTTTGTATTTATTTAATGTGATCCAAGTACCCATACCAAAGAATTCAGAAAAATGAGTGGAAAGAGTGGTAAAGTGTCCTCCAATATCAACTCTCTCAGAAAAGGTTTTTAAGATGTAACTCATAATTTAAATCACCACTACCTAAAGTATTAATTTTCTAAGGTACTGATTGAGAAAACACCAATATGATTACTTCTGTGAGCATAAAGACAACTTGCAACATTTAGTAAAAGCCACTACCAATCTGTGATATACTCACAATATAGTTTAAAAAGAAAATAAAAATATAAATAAAAAGCCACTACCAATCTGTGATATGCTCACAATATATTTTAAAAAGAAAATAAAAATAAAAATAAATAAAAGAAAGCATCTCACATATTTTTTTAAAAAAGAATATTCATTTTAAATAATAAGTTAAAATGAAATCATTCACAGATGTTAACTGAATCACATATATTTTCCCCTGATTTACTGATGTTGCAAAAGGCAAGTTAGAACTTTTCACTGTGATAGATTCAGAAGAACCATCTCACAAATATTTTCACAAAGTAATTAAATTTGTTATTATTGAAATGAAGAGAGAAGTACAATCAATTGCCTCATCTTGACTGTTCAGAAGAAAAAAACTCTGAGCAATAAACTTTATTCTATAAATTCCTAAGGATATTATATCAAAAAATAGTATAAAATGACAATTTTACAATTAGAAATTATGCTCTTTACTAAAATGAACAAAGTTTTCTGCATTTCTCCCCAAAAGGACGTATTCATTAAAAAAAAAAAAAACAAAACTGTGAATTTGCAAAAAATAACCTGTTATTACAAAGAAGCCCAAACTAAGTAGGCACCAGCTAAGGCTGAAACAAATTGATTATTCTTATTCTCACCACCTGCGCCGGGCCTGGCCCAGGGTGACATGCAGGGGCTTGGAACCTACTGTGCGACCATTCATCTCATCCACTGCTTTGGCAGCCTCTTCAAAAGAGGAAAAACAGACAACACCAAACCCTTTGCCTTGCCCCACTTCCATCATCACTTTGGCTCGGCTAATTGATCCAAATGGAGAAAATTCCTCCTTAAGTTTTTCATCATCTATGGTCTCATCCAGGTTCTTAATATAGATAGGCACCCCTGGAGGCCGACTTTTGTCTTTTAATCTCAGCCGTTCAAATCTCCGCCTCAACTCAGCCAAGCGTTCGATTTTCTTCTGTGCTCGCCCTACATATAGAATCTTGCCATCGATGGACTTTCCATGCAGGTCTAGCACAGCCTTTTGGGCAGCCTCATGTGTCTCATATCTCACAAATCCAAAGCCCTTCGATTTCCCACTGGCATCTCTGATTACCTTAACACTCTCAGTTGGCCCATATTCACTGAAAAGTTCCTTTAGTTTTTCGTCATCCATGTCATCTCCCAAGTTTTTAACAAAAACATTAGTGAAAGTTGCTCGATCTCTAGTTCTGACCTCTGCTGCCCGCTCTTCCGGGAATTTGAATCGGCCAACATATACCTGGCGGTTGTTGAGCCGCACTCCATTCATGTGCCAGATGGCCCTATTGGCAGCGGCCAGGCTGTCGAAGTGCACGTAGGCATAACCCTTAGAACCATTGTCATCGCATACTACTTTGCAAGAAAGAATGTTTCCAAAAGCAGAAAATAAGTAAAACAGGGCCCTGTTGTCTATGGATTTGTCCAGGTTTTTGATGAATATATTTCCAACTCCAGACTTTCTTAAGCGGTCATCTGGCTGAGACCACATGAGGCGGAATGGTTTGCCATTAAGCAAATCAAAATTCATGGTGTTCAGGGCCCATTCAGCATCTGCAGGGAAACGAAAGTTAACATAGCCATAGCCCAGAGGGCTGTGGGTCACCGGGTCACGGCAGATTCTGGTGAATCGCAGAGGACCGGCAGGCCTGAATTTCTTATAGAGCATGTCCTCAGTGACATCTGGGTCCAAGTCACCCACGTACAGGGCGGCCTTGAGATACTTCTTTTTCTTGCCAGCAGGCTTAGGCTCCCCGCTCCCCATATTCCTGAGCACAGAGAGGAAGTTCTCTTAGGAGAGAAAAAAAAAGAAGGCTTTCTTCTCTAAGCTATGCGCCAAACAGCTGTTCACGAACAGAAAAAGCCAAGGCAGGCCAAGAAAATCTAAAAGCAGACTCAGAATCACTGTCGAGGCTGAGAAAATGAAGTTCAGAAACAGCTGGTCAGCAGGCTCAAAACAAACGCGTTAGACAAAAAGGCACCCTAAACACGAATCTATTCTCCCTATGGGGACTTAACATTTTCACCCATTCAAATGTAATATGTTTCAAAAGCCAGTATTAGGAAGCAAATTTCCCTTTCCCCGTGAAACTCAAAAGAAATCATCAAGCGGCTGCTTGGCTCCCAACTAGCATTGCCCAGAGAGGCCTCACGCCTGGTTTTCTGCATAAATATAGGCCTAGAGCTGCTGTTGGTTTAAAATGATATCAACAAGGGCAGGGACTGAGCGCATATTCCTCCGCCGGCTGCCTGGCTGGTCTCCAGCGGGCTCTCAGCTCATTAAGGCCGCTGCGCAGTCAGCGTCAGCGAAAAGGCACACTAGACACTTGGTGCGCTGGGACCAGCAGGCAGGGTGCAGGCAGCGGATCGGACAGAGACAGACAGACAGACACATGCTCGGGGTACCAAACACCGCCCAGATACCCAAGATGCCCACTGGGTACGGACCGAGTGAGGCGCGGTGATTTCGGCAGCCTGAGGCTCGCGGCAGGTCCGGAGGGACTGACTGGCAGACTCGCAGTGGGTCAGCTCAGACGCTAGGCGGGTCCAAACAGAGGAGGGGCGGAGTCAGCAAAGGGCAGAAGCGCGGCAGGCGGGCACAGCGCAGACTGATGAACTGGGTAGCGTTCCGCAGGACATAAGGACCAAGAGACCCAGAACAAGCTGTGGTAGGGAGGGAGATGGGCGGGGCAGGAGAAACCCGGAACCGTGCTAAGTAACTTCCCGCTTGTTGTGTGCCAAGATTAAAATGGTTTTAGATTCTTTTTTTTTAAGTTTATTTACTAGTATTTTGAAATATTATCTTTAATCTGCTTAACTGAAAGTCAAAGAAGGAGGCAATGACTTGGGCACAAATAACTTTTAAGTTTCAAAAACTTATTCCCCAAATAATTTTTGCTTAAGAAAAAGACTATAACTTTCATACTTTCTTAAATGCATTGCAAAATCAAAGTTGACAGCTGTACATGGCTTCCAGTCCATTGCTGAATGATCACAGGATCAAATAGAACACAGGGCCATGTTATATTTGGCCTTTATCCCTTCTCCAGAATCAACAACATAAGGGTAACACTACCCTTAGGTAGGCATTTTTCTCTGCTTCAGTAATAATAAGGTTTTAATGATTTGGAGAGCCAATAAAATGGCTTTTGATGGTATTTATTGCCACAAAACTTTGAAATTGTTGAACTTCCTTCACAATCACAGTTATAGAATTTGACGTAAGGAGATAAAAGTTGCAGAGTAAGTGTAAAATATATAATTAATATTCATAGATAAAATAACCATGTTAAGATACAGGCATTTTGCACAATTAATTATGAATTTTAACATAAGCTGTCAATTTAAAATCATTACAGATTCAAATGCAATGAAATTTGACTCAGCGCATAGGTTTCCCAAGATCTCACCTTAGAGTTTTTGAAAAACTTTTTTGGAGAGGAATTTTACTTGTTTTCAGAAATTTGCAAATATCTAGCAGACAGAAACAAATATTCAAGGAACACCTTGCACATTACTCCCCCACAAAAGAAACTCCAAACAAAATATATCAGTACTCAGGCTGGAAAAAATCCTAGGACGAAATGTTCAAAAGAAGTACATTACCTCAGTGGAAGTTCTCTTAAGAAAAAAATTCTTAGAATAACTGGCTTAATTTATGTGCTGCTTCATTTTTTACATTGTATAGTTACTGTTGGACTATAGAGTTGGGTAAAGATCATATATATTTACTCAAAAACTTACCAGTTCCTTGTGTTCTGGTGATTTCTTTCCAAGGTTCCTTTCTAAGATTTCTTTCTAAGGTTCCTTGTGTTCTTGTGATTTCTTTCTAAGGTTCTTGCTTAGGTAAGATGTGGTGACTATATGAGAAAAAGCAAATATGAACAAAAATTATTACAGAGATAGACAAACAAACCAGTCTTACAATATAATCACAGTGACCAATATGTAGAAACACTTGTGGATATCTGCTTACTTTATTGCATTTTGAATGTAATTTTCATAAACATCTTTCCTTACATGCATAATCAACAATGGGCTAGAAATCTGGCCTTTTTTATATTTATCATTTAAAAATACTATTTTATTAAAAAGACTATATTAAAATAACACCATAACCAAGAGAATTCCCATAATCTCATAACTAACTAAATCAGTATTTTCTTTTGTTCATAAAACCATTTAAATGTTCATATTCAAATTCATTAGTACATATTTTCTCAATGTTATAGACATATTAGAAAGTTAAAATGTGTATTTTTAAAATAACCACCTTTCTACACTTACTATCTACTTTGGCCATTGCAGTGTAAACATTCTAAATTATAGTGACCTTTTTATGAGGTCAAAGACCACAATTTTTAATCTTCTTTGTAATACATGAAATTTAGCAGAGTCCCCTAGTCTAATCAGAAGTTAACATGCAAAAGGAAAGCATTTTTACTTGTAATTTGTTCAACCATATTAATAGATTGAAAAGTCTCTGGAATAAAAGTCAGTTATAGAACATTTTTTCTGTAATGTTTATTATATGTTAAAGGAAAATTTATAGTCTATGTAAACCTGTTTTAAATAATAAAATCCATGAAAAATCCCTACCTATAGTCTTGAAGAAATTGATTGAAGCATATTTGAACCTTTGTAAGAAACATTTTGCATGAGGAAAAAGTTACGTATAACCGGCATTCCAAGTACATTCCATCACACATTTTTATTTACAGTTTCATAGTAGTATGTCTGTACTGTTAAAAAAAAAGGGGAGAGTTGGGAATTTATTCATTCTACCTTAACAGGCACTTTATACTGTATTTCCAATTAAACTCAGATGTCCTTGTTTTTGGGACTTCATTATGAATGTAAAGTTGCTATTCTCTTGAATGAAGACTAGGTTGACTAAACAAAATATCATAAAGTAAAACTTTTATTACCTAGAAATTGGCTCATATATTTTTTAACAAAGAGAGGAAAGCAATTTGACACTAAAAATTTAGTATAAGGTCAGGTGAGGCAGCTCATGCCTGTAATCCTTGCACTTGGAAGGCCGAGACAGATGGATTGCTTGAGCTCACAATTACAAGACCAGTCTGAGCCAGAGCGAGATCTCCTCTCTAAAAAATAGTTGGGCATTGTGGTGGGCCCCTGTCATCCCAGCTACTTGGGAAGCTGAGCCAAGAGAATTGCTTGAGCCCAAGAGTTTGAGGTTGCTGTGAGCTGTAATGCCAGAGCACTTTACCAAGGGCTACAAGATAAGACTCTGTTTAAAAAAAGAATGTAGTATAAACAGGCATTTCTACAGTGAGTTTTGAGGTGAGAACAATTATTTTTTTCATATTCTCAAAGATTTTATTCTGAGCTATGAGAATTTATGTGTTGAATAATAACCTTGAAGCATTTTGATAAGACTAATTATCAAAGAAAAATTAAAGTATAAATTTTTACATTATTTTCTAAAGTGAGAAAATGATGAAAACCAAAAATTTCAACAGAATTTAAAATGAAAAGGAATTCATGCTAAATAGACAATAAACCAGAATATCTCCTTCTCCAATATTTTATGAAAATTTTGATATTTTAAAATCATAAAAGGGAATTTAGATACATATCCAAGGATATAGCTATAATTCATAGTTTTATAACTCTAGGGTTGTTCTAGAAATTAAGAAAATTTTTATCAGAACACTAACTTTTACATCATTAACTAACTCCTTAATGAACCAAAAAAAAAAATATATATATATACTCCCTTTTACAATAAAAACCCTCAAAAAACTAGGTGTAGAGGGAAGTAACCCTAAACTAATTAAGGTCATATATGAAGCCCACAGGTAACATCATATTCATCAGTATAAAACTGCAAGCTGTTACTCTAAGATCAGAAACAAGGCAAGGATGGCCACATTTTACCACTTCAATTCAATGTAGTACTGGGCCAGTAATTACTAATTACTAATTACTCTAGTACGGGGCCTAACTGGGAAGGAGAAAGAAAAAAAAAAAACATCTAAGTCAAAAACAAAAAAGTAAAAGTAACTTTATTTGCAGATGTCATAATCTCATCTGTAGAAAACCTAAAGTTGACACGAAATAAGAAAGAACCTGTTAGAAGTAATCAAATTATTCATTAAAATGCAGTATATTAAATCAACATACAAAAGGTAAGATGTATTTCTATACATTAACATCAAAGTATCTGAAAAGGAAATTAAGAAAACAAATCATGCTAACAATAAAATCAAAAAGAATAAAGTAGTCATGAATAAACTTGACCAAGGAGGTGAAAGACATGTACACTGAAAACTAAATCTTCCATGAAAGAAGTGACAGAAGCCACAACCAAATGTAAAAATATTCTATATTTATGGATTGGAAACTTTAATATTATTAAAATGTCCATAGTATCCAAAGCAATCTATAGATTAAACAAAAGCCTTATCAAAATCTGATAGCATTTTTTTACAGAAGTAGAAAAACAACCTAAAATTCATATGGTGACACAAATGACCCTGAATAGCCCATGCAATCTGAAACAAACAACAACAAAACCGATGGCACCCATTTTTTGAATTCAAAATATATTGCAAAGCCACAGTAGTTACAACAATGTAGTATTGGTCAGATATATAGTCCAATGAAGCAGAATAGGGATGCCAGAAATAGACTCACACATGTATGGTTAACTAATCTTTACTAAGGGTGCCAAGAAAACATAGTGGGGAAATGATAGTCTCCTACAATGGTGTTGGAAAAATTGGATATCTACAATGC